TATGGGACACGATTCATGATGTCTCACATAAAGACTAAACCAGTCTTTTGCTATAACATTTCCATTTCTATTTGCCAAGTTCTCATAATTCAGATTATGAAAAGGGATGCCGTAATCATAATCGAATTTTAGAACGCAAATAATGGACCCATATACAGAATTTCCTTATGTTGAGCCATTCCAACATGAAATTCATATATATATATATCCTTGACTAAATGATTAAAACCTCACGATCTAAGCTTATAGATTTGAGATGAAGTATAATTTCCTCTCCCTTAATTATAGCAAAACAACTTTTTCCCAATTGAAACCTTTTGTTTTCTATAATTAACATTGCTAACTTGCAATCTTTATCATAATTATCATGCTCCCACTAACATGATGATTATTAGCATAACACTTATGCTCCCACTAGCTTTGACATGTACTCAGAAAGCTCGACTTCTAGAAATCAATACTTTATTGACTTTCTTACCAAAGTTCAGATTTCTGATACTAGATTGTTTTGATAAGACTTTATCAAAAACATACACCTTCCCTTAGATAGCACACTTGTGTGTCTAAACAATTATGAAGAGGGATGCCGTAATCATAATGGTTAGACCTTTTTGCCACTTCTCACAAGTCTAGGTTAGTGTGCCAGTAAACCACACACGCTCCACTAATGACTTTGAGAATGCAAATATCACAATTGCTATCTAACTAAAATCTACTTAGTGAAAGTGTTTCCTCACCATCATTTTTGTGAATCGGAGAGAAACCTTATGACACTTAGATTTATATGGTGTATGAGTTCCTATCCATATGAATTTGTCAAAACCATAATCACAAGACAAAGATAATGACAAATCCAAAACCATATGGATTGAACTCAATCTTAATTTCTTGCCACCTGGCAGCTCAAGGGCCTACCATTGCTTCCAAGTTGTTGTGCAACACATTGAGAACTCTAAGAACTCATATGCAAAGCCAACTTTAACTGGAATCGGCACAGAATATGTCAACACGATAGGTTATAAACCTCAAGTTGTGTACTAGTGAGGAACTTCAGGTTTCATTCTTGATTAGTTCTTGAGACTTTCAAGACCTTTAAGACTCCCACTATCCTCTTGACCTATAAGACTCCCTTGTCAAACATCCAAGAGATAGTGCGGATTCTAATCAAGACAAACACTTCACACAATTGGCCTTAGTTGGTCTTTGTTTTATCCAAAACATCACAACTTACCAATTTCAAATGTACAAGAGTAGAAAACTTTTACTCTTACATTTGATAAGTTTTTTTAAACCTTCTTAAAGACATGTCACTCAAATTACAATCTTGGAGTATGACTCTAAGACTTGTATTGGAACGAAGTATGACTCATCTTCTTGATTTAACCATTTCAACAATTCAATATCCCTCTTCTTAGTCATCAGAATGCACTAAGATTTCCTTAGAGAACTAATTGTGCTATGGTTTGTTAATCATTAAGATGATCACAAAAATTGATACTAAAGTACTCTCCCATCTTTTCAGATTTGAGAGACTTTTATCCTTCTGCCTAATTTGATTCTTCTTATTCGCTCTGCTATGCATTGAAACCTTTTCCAATGTCTCAGAGTTACACTTAAGCTTGTAAGTATAATCATATTTACTGAGCTTTAGTAAACTATGACGAATAGCCTTATATCTTTTGTGGTGGACTTAATCAGTGCACATGACTATGTACTCGATCCCTTAGTCCATTACTTGACTCACACATCCATGTGAACAAGTAATTAGTCTTAATTTTTCCAATACTTGAAAGTTCTCATTCATCATGCTATACAACTTGCATGATTCCAAGTCTCGGTCCAACTGAGATTTTGGATGATGAGAATCTTTCCTTATTTGGTAAATTTAGACATTACCACAAATGAAGGAATCAATTTCATATTTCCACTCTTGCTATTAATGGAATCATATAAGCAACAATTTTTCCTTAAATGCCATTGTAAGGATATTTTAAAATAAATAAAATCAAAAAATTTTCTTTTATTTTAAAACTATGCGGAAAAACTTATCCTTACAATCCATATGAAAACTTGTTGTTATCTATTCCTAAGCAATATCCCATAACTCCTAAGAAGTAGCTCAAGAATCCGATTTTCAAACTACGCGATAGAAATCCATCTATGCGATCAGATTCAGCATATTCTTTTTTTTAAGTTCCTTTACTTTTTTTCTTTGATTCTTAAAACATTACCATGTGACCCAGTCACATCATGTAATAAGAATCTCAGAATAGAAACTTAGCAGAGTTAGATATTGGACTTTACCTGAAGTAGAGTCAAACTTATTGACTTTAACATCCTTAGGTAAATTTGGCAGCTTCGCAACTAATGACCCTTCCTTTGGCAATATAAACATATGGACCCTTTGATAATGGTACACAGGACTATTACAGACTTAGCCTTTTCTCTTTACCATTTGGTCAACCTAGTTGACTATGGTCAATCCCTTTCCTTGGGAAGAGAATGCTTTTTCTGTATTTCCAGTGTCACCATTGTCAATGTCCATAAAGTTTTAGGAAGTTGATCTTAGCAAATAGATAAGATCATTAAGGGTCTTGTCATAGTCTGTTTCATAGGTGTTCCAAAAGAACTCACTATGTGACTTAGAAAGTAGTTGAACCACCAACTTTCTCAAGACTTTGACACCCAACTCTCCCGACTTGTCAATATGTGACTACATCTCCAAGATGTGACCACACCTAGACCTTTACTTGCCAATAGGGCTCGAGTGACTTTAAACTTTTCAAGAACTTGTGGGGTAGGGAGAATAATTGGAGGAGGTGAAAGAAGTATGATTTCCATTGGAATATCATCTTCATTTAGGAAAGCTAGTTTCAGGAGATTTGGGAAGATCATAAATGTCTAAACCAGACATGTTTTGGGAGGTATTCAAGATAGTTGATCTTAAAGTCCTTAATATGACACCCAATATGAAATATTAAGGCTAGGACCCAACAAACTATTTTATAACTTAGAAGAGGTATGCCGTAATCCAAGCTATAAAACAATTTGAAGGTAGGTGAATGACGATTCACCAATTTCCACCAAGATAAACGAAATGTATTATTAGGTTTTAATTGGATTTGAAACTCCTAGATCTTTTGAGATTCATTGAACTGTTCAATGGCATGTTTCAATCTCGAGTGTGCCCTCAGGTTTTGTGACTGGGATGCCGAGGATCACAAAACAAGGTGTGAAGTAACCATGCAAATTACTTGGTACCCTTAAGTGTTTATCCCTCAATCGATGTGCCGGTTAACCACACACGCTCCATCGATACTATGATAAACATTAAGTTACCCTTTGCCTACCTTGTTAAATACGAGTTAGTGTGCCGGTTAACCACACACGCTCCACTAACCGACTTAAACAAAGTGCAGAGTGTAATTTCATGGATTAGCACCTTATTCACATTTTCCTAAGTAACTAAGATTGGGTATTTATAAAAGGTTTAGTTACTTAGTACTTATCATTAATACTTTTAATGAAGGGAGAATTATAGTCCTATCAAACCCGTTCGGCTAACGACCCTCCACCAGTCAAGCAAGCGGTGGGTGAGAGTAGACACCCATTAAGTTGCCATTTTATAGGCAACAAACTTATACCCACCTTATAGACCGGTTTCGTGAATGAGGCGTACTAGCGGTAAGACCGACTTTACTCTTATACATATATATATTATTAACTTATAATATTATAAAGTATAAGGATTGAATTTTAACTTTTAAAATTCTAAGGGCTAACTTGGAATTAAAGTATTCATAAGTGAACACTTTACAAATTCCAAAACTTGAGGGCAAGTTTTGAAACTGTTCAAAACTAATTAATTCCATAACTTATATGTTTAAAGTAGTTTTAATCCAAAAACTCTTCAAGTTCCATAACTTAAGGACAAGTTATGGAAGACTTTAAACCAGTGTTGTAAAAATCGGCCTAGGCGCTTGGCGGAGGTAAACTGTATAGGATTTTTGATAGGCGTTGGAATTAATCGGAATCGTTCAACGACGGTCAAAGGCGGAAAATGGCGGTCTAGGCGGTCAAAATAGGTCAACATAAGTCAACTAAAAAAAGTCAAAATTAAACCTTTTTTCTTAACCTAATCGACTAAAAGAAATACAGCTTCATCTTGTTTTTTTTTGCGCCTCATTCATCTCGTTCTCTTCTCCAGCGATCGACTACAACATTCTCCATCAGACTCCGGCGACAAGGGTTTAGCGATTCCGGCTACAACATTCACCATCGGACTCCGACACATGGGACGACGACGTATCGCAGATTCGCACTCGCAGGTTTGTTTCTGATTTTTGCGATTTAATTGTTATTCAACGACGCATCGCATATTCGCACAACATTCACCATCGTGATTTCTAATCATCGCTGCAACGTATTCCGACCACACGTTCGAGTCCAAACAATTCAATCTGTCGATTCCGGATTCGGGATTTCTCACAATCGACTTTGACCAGCTGTCATCGGTAAGTTTTTCCCTTGGTTTCGGTTTTTCATTCCAGTTTTTGTTTGCTTACGAACATAAGAATATACAAGTTGCACAATGGTCCAACTATTTTGGTTTGGGTTTTCCTTTCCTGTGTTTTGATTTTTGCCCCTGTTTCATAAGTGATCATACAAGCTGGACCATTTTGCCCCTGTTTCAATCCTAATTTTTGCCCATGTTTCATTCCATCTTTTTCATGCCTGTTTCATTCCTGTTTCATTCCAGATTACAATTATTTTCTGCCCATGTCTAATTACCATTTCTTTCAAAATTTCACAGATTAAAGGTTGTTAACGGCATCTAAAAATTCAACTATACAATCATTGGATTCAACAGCTACTGGTTTAAAGAGGAATTCAAATGATATTGCTTGGGAATTTGCTATTTTCCCAGATCCTACAAACTTGGATAAATTGAAGTGTACATTGTGTGGAAAAGTTTATAGTGGGGGGGGGGGGCTTCAAGAATGAAACAACATATTGCTCATGTGAAAGGAAATGTAGCTCCATGTCAAAAGTCTACCAAAGATGATCAGTTGAGATGTCGAGATGCTATCAATGAAGGAAAGTTAAAAAAGAAGGGAAAACAAGCACATGATGAAGCGTTAAGATCGGAGGTGAGATTTGATACTAATGAAAACATTAGTATAGACACGGATGAAATAGAGAATAATTTTGGGAGCTTGAGGGAACCATATGTTATAGGCCCGATGGATAACTTTGCAAACAGATTAAACCCCGAAGAATCTTTGAAGTCGGGAAAAGGCAAAAAAGTTGATATTAACAATGCTATTCGAAAAGAAAGAATATCAACTGTGAAAAGTTTCATTGGTAGGTGGGCATATGAGTGTGCAATTCCTTTTCATGCCTTCGAAAAGGATAGCTTTAAAATGATGGTGGAGGTAATCGGCCAATATGGAACCGGGCTTCCAACTCCTACTAGGTATGAGTTGAGTAACACAATTTTAAAAAAAGAAGTTGAAAGAACAAAAAATTTAGTGAAAAAAAATGAAGAAGAATGGAAACAAGATGGATGCTCGATTATGACGGATGCTTGGTCTGATAGAAAGAGGAGGAGCATTATGAATTTATGTGTCAATTCAAAGATAGGTACCGTTTTTTTATCTTCAAAAGAATGTTCGGATGAAGCACATACAAGTCAACATATATATGAGTATGTGGAATCTTGCATTCAAGAAGTTGGTCCCGAACATGTTGTTCAAATAGTAACCGATAATGCCACGAATAACATGGGAGCCGCAAAGTTGCTAAAAGAGAAAAGACCAAAGATTTTCTGGACATCATGTGCGACACATACCATAAACCTTATGCTTGAAAGTATTTGTAATTTTATTTATTGTGTTTTATAATTCTATTTGTGTTTTTAATCGTGATTATTTTTTGAAGGTATTGGTGGGCTTCCAAGGTTCAAGAAAGTCTTAGATCAAGCAAAGCAACTAACCATCTTCATTTATGCCCACCACAAAACGTTAGCTATGATGAGAAAATTCACTAACAAAAGGGATATCATCCGACCGGGTGTCACGAGATTTGCTTCCGCCTATCTAACATTACAAAGTTTGTCTGAAAAAAAAGAGCAACTAAGGCATATGTTCTCTAGCAACGAATGGGAAGAATGTAAATTTTCAAATGCAGTTAAAGGGAGATCTAGTCATACATTGGTGACAGGTTCCACATTTTGGGCGGGTGTGGCACTTTGCTTAAAGGTGTTTTCCCCTTTGGTGAAAGTTCTTCGTATGGTTGATGCGGATTGGAAGCCCTCGATGGGTTTTGTTTATGGTGAGATTAAAAAAGCAAAAAAAGAAATCATTGATGCTTTAGGCAGTAACAAAAAAGCATATGAGCCTATCATAAATATCATATCAAAGAAAATGAAAGGTAGACTAGATTCAAAATTGCATTTGACGGCTTATCTTCTAAATCCTTATTATCATTATAAGGATCCACAACTCCAACATGATCCCGAAGTAATGCATGCGGTTCTTGAGTTTTTTGATACATTATTTGCCGGAGATTTAGAGATGCAAAAGCAAGTCGTGACTATTGAGTTGCCAAAGTACAAGAAAAAAATGGATAGATTTGGTCGGGAACTTGCAGTTAAAGCATGTGAAGTTAATGACGGTGACTATGATCCGGGTAAAACATTTTACTTTTGTTTAATTATTTTATAAAAATTCATATTTATCAATTTATGAATCTAATAATGTGATTTATGTTTAAAAATCATAGCAACTTGGTGGGGTACGTTTGGTGGAGCAACTCCTCATTTGACAAAGATTGCAATAAGAATTCTTTCTTTGACTAGTAGTTCATCTGGATGTGAAAGGAATTGGAGCACCTTTGAAGGGGTTAGAATTCAAACTTCAAATTTAAGCAATTTATTTAAATTATAATTTTATATCATAATATTGTATATTTTTTACCATTTTTTTTTATGTTTGTAGATTCACACGAAGAAAAGAAATAGGTTGGATGCAAGTAAAATGAACAATCTTGTTTATGTCCAATTTAATGCTAATTTGATGGAAAAAAACAAAAAGAGAAAAGAAAGGAATATGGAAGTGTTATTAGCTAATGATAGTCACACGGCTCAAGAATGGATTGTTGATTGTGGTGATTGTGATGAAGATGGAGTTGGCATAGTTGGTGATGGTCAAGGAACCGATGAACTCGGACAAAGTTCAAGAACAAGAGAACTTTTAGATGAAGATTTTGCGTCAGGTAGTGAGGAGGAAGTATTTGAAGAAGTTGATTATGAATCGGATGGAGTTCACATCATGGAAGAATGCGGAGATAAAGAGTAGAAGCCTGTGAACAATCAAAAGTTTGATCTTATAAAAGTTATTTTGGACTTTGTATGATGCTTTATGACCTGAATATGTAAACGTTTATGAATATTTACTTACTTTGGACATGTATTGTTTTATGACTTGAATATGTAAACGTTTATGGATATTTACATGTTTTGTTAGTATTTTTTTTAGAGATAATCATATGATATAGGTAATATTTAAGTTTTTTTTTTTACAATTAAGGGTCCCCGCCTAGGCGGCGATTAATCCCCGCCTAGACCGATTAATCGCTTGACCCCAGTTGACCGCCGAGGTACCGCCGAGCAATTTTTACAACCTTGCTTTAAACTAATAAAAGAATTAACTTTTCTTTATTTTATAACTTATGGATTTAATTATGGTTACATATTTTATTTATTTATTAATGAAGTGACTCTTGAACCTCCATAACTTAAGGACAAGACTCTTCATCTTTTGTAACCATTGCCAACTTTTATGAGTTTTATGAAACTTAAATGTGACTTTTCATATAACTTGAGGACAAGTTACAAAAACACATTTTAGAATCAACTCTTAGATTAATTTGGATTGAAAACAACTATTTCATTCAACTTTTCTATTAATCTAAGCAACTCATAAGAACAAGATAATTCAAATCAAACTTTTTCATGTAATTAGTCTAACCTTTAAACTAATACAAAACATGAATCTATTGACAATTATCTTTGAAAATGGATTAGCATGAACATTACCACATTAAAAAACAAGTTTATAAGTTCAAAAACAACTTAGGGTAATGTTCCTAGTCCATTTCTAGCCAAAAACCTCGAAAATATGCTGTCTGGGGTCCAACTCGTCGAGTGCACGAACACAACTCGGCGAGTTGGATGCATTTTGCCTTGGACTCGTCGAGTCCCTTCATGGACTCAGCGAGTCTGCTGGGCTGACAGCACCAATTTCGATTTTTCAGCTTCTATTGCAAGTATAACAAGAAAACAAGCCTAGGCTCTGATACCAGTGTTGGGTTATGAGCATTCTAACACTCCTAAGTGTACATGCAACCCTAAATACCTTGGATCTATGTTTTCTCTATTATACATACAAATATGAACATCCAAGGTATTATCCTAATCTAGCATACAAAACTATCAATATAACAAGATAGAATACATACCTCTTTGATGTAGAATGGCTTCATGAAGCTTGAGTGCCTAGTGCCCCAAGTGTGACACCTCAAATGGTTCACACAACACCAAATACACTTGGAATAACTTGAGAGAATTCTACACTTCATGAAATCGGCTAGCCCTTTCTTAGTCTCTTACTAGTGGCCGATTTTCCTCAAGAATAAGATGCTTATTTAGTTATACAATTAGGGTAAACCCTAATTGTCATGACTTTCCATTTCCTTAGATCCATGGGTTCAAATACACCATGGAGCATCCATGGAGCATCATATGGGTTTTGGCCCAACTAGATAATCCATGGAGCATTAGCCCACTATACAAGTATGGATGATTTACACAATCAACCCATATATTTAATTAGTCTTCTTTTGATCACTTAATTAATCCTAGATTAATTCTTGATCAATACTAATTAAATAATCTCATTATTCTTATTATTAATATACTAGAACTTATAATATATTAATAACCGTAAGTGTCTTATTTCTCTCATTATAGTCTATCCAAGTGCATGATGCCATGCAACCCAAATGGACCATGCCGGGTCGGGTCAAGTCTTACCAATTATAGTTATGGACTTAGACATTAATCCAACAGTTTTGTTCTCTTTCCAAGCCGATGTAGGATCAGGTGCAACCCACCTTACTTGTAACATCCCAAAAATACAGGCTAAAATAAATTATTTTTAAATAAGTCATTATAAAACCAATAGTGTAATAAAACATTTGTAATATCATGTCATGTCAAAACCAAAGTAGAAATAATTAAACATGTTATCATAAAACAATATCAGAGTGTAATCCCAAAGATCCCATGTGCGGAAAACCATAGTATGATGCGCTGCGATCAAGCCGGCTCCTTTCCTTTAGACACGAAGTACCTGAAACCAAAACTGAAAATCGTAAGCACGAAGCTTAGTGAGTTCCCCCATCATACCACATACCATATAATCACATAACATACATATATTGTCAGGCATATCTGGGTGCCCGACCTACCCCTTCGGTCCTCTCGACCGGATACTGACTAGCATATCTGGGTGCTGGTCTCCCCTTCGGTCCTCTCGACCGGATACTGGGGAATATTTCACCCCTACCACTACCACATAACACGTATCACATAATATATTGAACATGGCTGGGCTTGACTGCCCCTTCGGCCCTATCGACCGGTAACCTGGGGACTATCTCCCCTACTATCACTAGCAAATAACATCATATCATACAAACACATAAATATAACACAGGTAGTAGCAACCCTAGATGAATATCACAAAGACAATCATCTAATCATATACTTCCTACTAGTGGGCCGGCATTGTGGCCTTAGACCCACTACTACTAGAAGGTAACTCACCTCACACTACTGAAGTCCTGAAGACAAAATCCCACACTTGCTGAAGTCTCACAGACTCAACCCCAGCTGCTGGATGACAGATTCCTGAACTGTCAACACCAAAATAACACCCAATTAATAATTGGGTCCCAACGCATAACCATAAATACATACTTGGATAATTATTACATTACCCTAAGATTTGCTTTATTCAAGTACAAGGCCCAAACCATAGGCCCAATGCGAACTAGGAATCGAAGCCCAACATATGGCCCAACATAATACAATCATTAAGGCCCAACTATGGTCCATCTATGGCCCAATTTTCCAAATTGGGCCCAACCCCTTACATGGGACTTACCCTAGGCCCATTAAATTATTTTAGCCCATATAATTATTCTTGGATGGCCCATTAATAATCCAATTATTAAGGCCCAATAGAAAGGCCCAACAATAAACCCAAGTGAAGTTAGGGTTTCACATAAAATGCCGATTAGGGTTAAGTTTCCTACTTAACCCATTAAGGAATTGTTCCTCTAAGGACTTAATCCATTAAGTCCATTATTCTTTTAAATAAGTCATATGGTGTGATTGGGCTTAATCACACAATTTCATTCCAATGGCCCAAATGTGGGTCTCGATAAGTCCAAGCGCATAATCCCAAATAAGAGTTTTCACATGAAATGATGATTAAGGTTCAGTGTTTCCTTCTTAACCCATTAAGGACTTAATCCATTAAGTCCATTATTCCCTACGCTAGTTTGCCAATGATTATTAATTACGGTTTAAGATTTAATAATTAATTCTCGTGTGCGTCCCAAGCAATTTCCACAAATTAGGGTTTTATTGGCATTATGGTGTTCCAATCCAAATATTAGCCCATTTATCAATTTGTTGGCCTTTTATGACAATTAGGGCTTTATTGGGCCTAATAAGCCCACTAAAATCTTATTAAGCCCATTAGGGTTTTATTGGGTCCATTAGAATCCCTTAAGCTTCGTTAGGCCCAATAGGGTTTCAAGGCCCATTAGGGTTTTAGTCCCTTGTCCAATCATCCAAACGAGTCCAAACACCATCAAAGCACACCACCACCCGACACGGCGGCCGGTAGCGGCAGGAGGCGACAGCCACCACCTTACGGTGGTGGTTTTGAATTCCTTTCTCATTATTCCAAGTTGTGATTTACAATATACAATGCTAAATATCAAAATAACACACTAAACAAATACACATGCAGCCACCTTGTGGTGGCCGGCGGCGGCAGATGGTGGCAGCCACCACCCTATGGTGGTGGTAATGCCTTTTCTGAGGATTCCTGCCATACACCCACGCACACATCGACTGAAACATGCACTTCTTCATTCCTTTACTCGGAGAGGGAAGCCAACCACCCACTTTGTGGCATAAGGCAACGGTAGCAAGGTGATAGCCGCCATGGCGGCTGCTATAGTGGTTCCCACGCTTTTCTGGCCAATAGCAAGTAGGCATACAAGGAAACTCACCCCAACTCGACAGGTGATAACCCACACAAACTCGATAGCCCTTTGGGGTGGCGACCACGACCGGAGCAACAGAAGCACGCCCTTGGCGGCGGATGGAGCGGAAGGGAAAAGAAAAGAACAGTAGCAGCAAGACAAGTTCCGAAACAGGTAGCGGTTACAGGCCATCTCCGGCCATACACGACGTAACTGCCATGGCCTTCTTCAACGAAGCAGTAGGCGATGACGAGAACTATCGAGCCTGGTGATGCCCTCGGTTGTTGAGAGGCTTCTATGGTGACGGCGGCGATCGGAATCGATGGAGATGGTTGGTGCAACGTCGATGAGGGTGAAGGAGAGTGTAGAGGAAGTTGGCGGCTATACAATGAGGCTAGGGTTAGGTACCGGGGTTGACGGGTTTATATACCCTGATCCCCATAACTTCTTTTCAAAATTCCAAGTTTAGCCCCTCCATCCAGAAATCATTACAATGTAAATCCCATATTTACCTTTTAAACCCCAACATTAAAATCCATTGCAACCTAGGTACAAAACTTACCAAACAGCCCCCTATATCTTAATTATGACATAATCACCCTATATCTTAATTAGATTTCGTCCTTGAAATCACCAATCTCAACCATGAAAAATGAAATAGGCATTAGGTTTTAATTGGTTTGAAACTCCTAGATATTTTGAGATTCATTGAACTTTTCAATGGCATGTTTAAATCTCGGTTGTGCCCTCTCAAGTTTGTGACTGGGATGCCGATGATCACAAAAAAGGTGTGAATAACCATGCAAATTAACTTGGTACCCTTAATTTTTATCACCTAATCGATGTGTCGGTTACCCACACGTGCTCCACCGATCTATGATAAACATTAAGTCACACCTTACAGACCGACTTCGTGAATGAGGCCTACTAACGGTAAGACTGACTTTGTTCATATACATATATATAATTATTAACTATTAATATTATAATAGTAAAAGGGTTGAATTTTAAACTT